TCACGTAACGGCCAAACAGAAATTCCCTTGTTCGTAGCGTCTGTTATATGAGGCACCACTGTAAAATGTTGTTTCTTTGTTAAACCTGTTTCCTCGTATATTGCCTGTCATCTTACCGACGCCACTCCTCCCTCCTACACTCGACCAGACCCGAAAAAAATTAGTCCTGTTCTCTCGGAATAAACTAAAAATTTAAGCCATCTCTGACAAGTGAGCAAGTCCCTCTGACTTGAAAGCCGATCCACAGAGGTACGATGTAGTCATACCCCTTGGTTCTCACAAATTGGTTTGCAGGAGTAGGGTTTTGACTTCTTCGGAACTTCGGTAAGGCGACGGAGAAAAGGCCATATATGAGCAACACGGTCGATTCGAATTGAGTTAGGTATTAGTTTCCTACAGTAGGGAAGTTAAATAGTAATTAGTAGACATAATGGATATCTGCAACCTCAACCTGCAGCTGGGCCAGGCAACCCAAATCCAACGCTGAATCCCATCACATTGGGAGGTCTACGCGAGATAATACCACTGTTACTCGTATTTTCTGGAGAGGCAGGAGGCCCCAGAGTAACCGATTTTTTCGATTCTTTGGCGGACGTCACCAAAGTAGCCGCCTGGACAAAGGCACAGATGCTAGCGGTAGCAAAATTAAAACTTACGGGGATAGCCCGAGAATTCGTTAGAAAGGATCATAGGGTTAAGAAAATAGATCGACAAGGAACCTGGATTTATTCCACACCTGAACCTCTCACCCTATCAGACGTCACCTATGACCTCAATCACCTGTTACAAATGACAACTAAATTAACACCATCCTCTCAACAGTAATTACAAGTTGCCTTGATACTATTGTTATTGGATGCTGCCTTTATCATATCGTTCGACGCTACATTCAGCAGAAAAAACGTCATCCACCACCTCAACCCAAGGTATATAGAGACCTCAACCGCACCCAGAAGACATCTCCCCCAGCGAAAGAGAAAAGTCAACAACCTGACACCCAACCAAGCACTTCCCGAGAAATTACACAGAGGCGACCCTACCCAATTAGCACAAACTTATTGTTCAAAGCTATTAAGGCCTTGCTCGACACTCGACAATAACCATTATATTTGCCTATTTTTTGTGTTGTTCTGCGTTCCGAAATTATATTCCCCTAACACACGGACTCTTTCATACATTTAAATTTTTTTCTTAAATTTTTATATATATCCTAAATTTAGAATTTTAATATCTGAGAGAGAGTAAATATAACAAAGATTCTAGTGTTGCCTGAGGGGGGCGGGAACCCCCACAGTGTCGACCCCCCCTGTGCGATCAAATAATGTCTAATAAACCATACCCCTACGGGCGACACATCACGAGATATAGCCCCCCCAAAATCGGGCCGCGCGACATCGCGGCGCGCGTCGCTTAGCTAACTCGCGTCGCTCAGCTAACTCGCGTCGCTTAGCTAACTCGCGTCGCTCAGCGCTCAACTCGACTGCTTTTAACTATAGCACACGCGACTCTACGTACGTCATTTCCGGTCACGTGACTCCGCTTCCGTACCTAGGGTGCCTCGCACGATGTAAAAAAAATCTTTATATTTAATAATTTAATAAATAGTATAAAGTAATAATTAATTTTAATACTATGTTAATGCTATTTGTAGTATTAATATCTTGATTAGTTTTATAAAAAAAACCAGCTAAATTTTAATATTACTACTTTTAGATGCCAGGAGCCTCACGTGCTGTTGCAACTTGTGATTATAGCTATCGTAAACAGCTATTGTCATCTATGCTAGTAATGAAAACTTCACTACCGACAGTAAATTAAAGAAAGAATCGCTTATTAAAAAGAAATCGAATAAAACTGATAAGGAAACTTTTACATGTAAATAAACAGAATAAATCAAAAGAATGTGTTAAATGTAATGATTGTAAAACTTTACAAGATATTAATTTTAAATTAATACACGGGATTTGTATTTTAAAAATTGTAATAACAATACAAAATGTAAAAAATTCGTACCTGATTCTTTTAAATTTGTTTTTATGTAAAACTTAATTTGTATGTATTGATATTAAAAATGTGTTTATAACAGAAAATTGTTCTTTTGAAAAATTTAAGTAATATCGTTTTCGGTACATGAGTATTAAAATTTAAAAAATAGACCAATATAATTTTTGGTTTAAAAAAAAGTGGTTTGACAATAGGAATTAAATTAATTTACTTATATATAAATCACCTACGTAATATTTATCAAAATAAGTTTTTAAAGAAGCTATTGTTATTATAATATAAAATACATAAAATCGATTTCATTTACAAAGTAGAAAAACGCATTTTAATTAGTGATGTAACGAATATTCGGTTACTATTCGGTATTCGGCCTATTCGGTCTATTTTTCGCTATTCGGCCGAATACCGAATATTTAATCACTATTTGGCCGAATATCGAAAAACAGGAGTAAGAAATAACAAAAACACAGTAAATTAATCATTTGGGTATTTAGATTTAATGTTATCGGGTTAGTGTTGTTTGTTTATATTTATTTATAACTTATAACATGCATAAAATAAAAAAAGAATATAATATTAGTCACATGTGTTTACAATTTATAATTACAAAGATCAGCACACGTACTGTACATACCTATTCGTTCGAGAATCGTCGCACATCTGAGGGTCTGACCCTGCCTATCCTTCTTTTTAAGCGCTCGTCTTTGCTCTTCCCTTTCTCTTTCCTCTATCGCTCTAATCCATGTATGCCTATGCATACATCTTAATACGCGCTCACGATACTTTCGATTCGTCACTTTTCCGTCGTAGAATTCCCATTTTACAATTACGTGACTCACAGCCTGGTGATAATGGAGAAAAGAGACAGATAGGACGTCGGTATAAGTCACAGTTATGATTTCACAGATTCCAGACAGCTTGGTAGCCCGAACGACCCCAGGCTTTCGCCCAGGCACGCTAAGTGACTTTCATTACAAGCATTTAGCTTTCCGAAGTCTATGACAACAATTGTTTGGCATTCACGACCACGAATTTCGTGCCAATAAGCTCCTCGACTTGTTTGATTATGTTATCAACTCAATTTCATATTTATTTTCACATTTTCACTTCGCGGTTCTTCTCTGTTCTTTTTCCGTTATTTACACGTGTAGGTCATTTCATTGTTATCCACATTTGATATCATCACTTATCACATACTGCCATAACGCTCGTGTCTGTCCGCTACAACTGTCAAGAATTAACGCGATTGGCAAAGCGTAGTGACAGCAGGCCAATAGAGAGCAGGGTCCTTGCCATAATGCGGTTTGCCGCCAATTTTCGTACGTGCGTTAATCGAGCCGAATATTATGGCCGAATATTCGGTATTCGGCCTGAGGCCGAATATACTATTCGTTGCAACACTAATTTTAATTTCAACTTTACACCGTAGAAATTACGGAGGTTTGCTCAATATTTTGGATTTTTCTTATTTGTCAATCTATCACAAAGAACTACCCGAAAAGGAAGGTGAGGAGCTGCTAATTCATTTTACGATATATAAACTTATTAATCTATAATCTTTTTATCTAATACATTAAGTTTATTACTGATCGCTCATCGCTGCATGCGATTTTGTTTGAGAGAACTAATCGTGCGTTCATTAAATTAATACTTTATTTTGATCGAAAATTACTGGCGAGACATGAACATACAGTAACATATACATAGGTAAATTCGAACTATCTGTATCAATTTTCTGTCTCGCGCCAAAGCAAGTTTTATGGATTAAGCGACTTATTCACAATTTTTTCGTTTTCATTTGTATTCAAAGAGCGATGTATAGTCCTATTGATATTTGTAATCGCGAAATAATTTTAGTAGCTTTTTTGCAACGCAAAGGATTCATTTCAGATAGAAAAAAATGTGCGCAATGCAAAAACGAGTGTAAATTTGTGAAAAATCCTATCCAACAGCCGGATAGCTGAGCGGTCAAGAAGTGCATTTTTTTATTCCTCCGCGCGAGCGGCATCCGTTTTAAGGTTTAAATTTAAAAATTCCTGCAAAACGCGTTCCTAAATTCCAGTCGGAGTGCGCGCCGTCGGACGGCAAAATGGCCGCTTGTAGTAGTAGTTTATGGTGGAAAGCAACATGGAGTCCTCCTTGCACGGATAGTTTCGTTTCGGGGACCATTATGTGGCTGGTTTAGTGAATGAAAATTTAAAACTTCTGAATGCGTAAGTTAGTACACGCGGTGATGTAAGTATCTTCTCGAACTTTTTCGAATGATCCCGAAAATCTTCATGATTTTTTTCGGGAGGTTGCCCTTCCGGATATGTCAGGCCCCGTTCCTCATCAACCCTGTCGCCCCGTTCTGGGCCTGGCCAAACTTATAATGGGCTAACTAAAACAGGCCATTCTTAGTGCCCACAGGGCGGAAATAGAAAAAACCCCCATCTTTACCTAACGCAACTTACTAAGTCTCTTAAGTTCAAAAAAATGAGTCACCCGGCCCACAAATGACTATGACAAGAGATAAAATTGAGACCAAATTGAAATACATCTTTAAAAATTTCAGGTATATTTTTCCTAATGTTAACTCTAAGAATTTCATTAGCAAAAGTGCATAGTTGCAAAATAATTCTATATTTATGTTTGGGCTACAAATAATTCAAATTTTAAAGCACAACTTTGGTACTTTTTAACCTTCAGATCTGGCAACATTGTTCCTCAGTCCGTGTCACAGTCAACATGCCTTTTGACATGAGCGAACGTGCTATTTCAGAGACTCCCGTCGTGGATCCCGAAGAAATTTTTGAAAAGTTGACATGCTTTAATTTTGCACGCTACTTTCCCACCGAAGAGGCCGCGGAGAAATTTTGCCACATGGTGAAACTCGTGCCCCATCCGGACCTAACCGGCTTTGTACCGTCGTGCCCAAAGTGCGGAGGTAAGATTTCCTTGATTTCCTCCTATACACGAGTGCCGTATGCAGGTATCTGTTAACTAATTCAATCTGTCATATTTTTCAGGCGTGATGAGAAAAGAGCCGGCACCAGCGGATAGGTTCGGATTCGTCTACCGCTGTGAAAAACTACAACAAAAGAAAAAAATGCGCCGGCGGACTGGCGGCTCCGTCTGGCGGGCCGTTTGCACCGGTACCCTCTCTTGTACCCATAACACATTTTTTGAAAGAGCTCAGCTCTCAGCTCAAGAGGTATGATATCGTGGCAGTATGCCATATTTATATATATTATATTTCTCATATTTCTTCTCTTTCTTTGTTCCTTTGTCTTTTGCCATTCTGGAATTTTCCTGTTTAACCCTACCCTTGGGAGTTGATGACTCACATCTAAGACAATAGAAACTAAGTAGCCCTAAGGGGTTAACAGGGTGAGGGAAGGACACCCACAGAATCGGCGGTTTCACGTGCTTGGTACCACGTGCTTCTATAATTCGATCGTACCGCTTAATTATGATGATGTATGTTTTATGAGATAATTTTTTTTTGTATTTAACAGGTGCTAATGATAATTTATGAATGGGTCAAGGAGGAGCCGGTCACCGTCGCCGCGAAAGAATGCGGCGTGGCCCTGCAAACAGCGGTGGACTGGTTTAACTTCTGCCGGGAAATTGCGGAGGTTTTCGTCTCCAACAACCAAAACCATCAACTTGGCGGTGAAAAAAAGCACGTCGAGGTAACGATCGATCCAAGTTTCTGACTTCGCCGATATGTCTATGTCTCTATATCTATATACATATGTTTTCTTTTCAGATTGATGAAACTTTCACAAGGAGACGAAAATACAACCGCGGGCGCGTTACCAAAGGCACCCAAATAACTATATTTGGTGCCTATTGTCGGGAAACGCGAGAGGTGATGTACTGGCATGTAAGTAGTAACGAAACATTATTTCCTATTATTATTTACTTTTAGTGGAAGTTTTGTGTTATATTTTCTCGTATTCTTTCAGGTGGAGAACAAAAGCAGGCGCGTTCTGTGGAGCCACATGTACAGATACATCGCCCCAGGTTCCATTATCGTTTCCGACAGCGCGCCCCAATATCGCGGTTGTACGACGATGGGCTTCTCGGATCATAAGACCGTGAATCACAGCCAGCAGGGCCCCGGGAGGTAAGGACGACGATATTGTGCTATGTGTTAAGTGAAAGAAATGAACGAGCGTTATTGAAAAAGATACCAAAAAGTGACATTTTTCTTTTTTCTCCTTGCAGATTCGTCAACAGCGAAGATCCCGAGGCCCACACTCAGAACATCGAGTGTAGACACCGCTGGCTGAAGAGGTCCATCAAGTCGCTCCGCACGGACAGGAGCCTGCAGAGTTACACCTGCAGCTACGTGTACAGAACGCGGTTTCTGTCTAAGTTGCCTACAATATCGGCAAAGTTCCGGCAGTTTATCGGGGATATCGTGGCCGTCTACCCGGGCCCCGGTCGCCAGGGTCTCCAACTCAAGACGATCGGAGTGCCCGTGGATCAACATCTGCCGCCAGACGAGCCCTATTTCGATATCCTCGAGCACGAGGGCGACGAAGAGGAACAGCAGGGGGATGACGATCGCCCAGTGAGTAGCGAAGCTTGTGTATAGTGCGCGTGACCGAAGGATACTTTTTTGCGGATTTGAAACCTGGATTATGATTTTTCAGACAACATCGGGCGCTACCAGCACCTTTCTCATCGACCCCCAGGACCTAGCCGAGGCGGGGACCAGCGGCCTCACCCCGTCCTCCCCATAACATCATGAAGAGGCTAGGCGTCGCCAGTAGCGAAAAGACATCTCGGGAGACGCAAGAGGAGTCGCTTTTGAAGGTTAGTGTAGAATCTGTTTTCTTCGCCTTTTACGTCGGCAGTTAGAATGTGTGGTTCTTTTCGGTTAGCAGCGCGCCAGTCAATTGACGTGATCTAACTCACGTGTATTGGGTTGATAATCGGTTCAGAGAGGATTACCCAAATGGGTAAGCCGGAAATGGTTAGTGGTAATGGTTACAAGCAGTTAGGGTGCGACTATGAAGACGCGAATTTAGAGCGAGCGATTTAGTTTTCGCAAAGGAAAACCATGCACAAACGAGAAGCGAGAAATAACGCTGGCGGGAGCGAATTTCTGGTTCTCGCACATATCTGACAGGCTTTGATATTTATCGCGTCTCGCCTCTTCTCGCCACATATTCTCGCTCGCTCGCGTCTGCATAGTCGCATCCTTACAGTCGCTCGCGATACTCTTAGCAGAGCGACGCGCGCCGCAATTTCGCGCGACCCGATTTTGAAGGTAAATGTTACCCGTTAAACGTTAAATTACTTAGCCTTTCAAGCGGAAAATAAAAATGCTTATTATTTTCGTTAAATTTATTTACATATTAATGATTATCGACGTGGTTATTGTATTATTAATATAGCCATAAAAATAGTTGGTATTCAGGCGGTATTCGAAACCAATGAATAAATTATTGCTTTAAGTAATCTTTAAAATATATACTATATATAATAAATACTAAATATATATAAATATTTTATATACTATAATTAATATTAATGATCGAAGACTTAGAAATCGTTTATTATATTAACTTTGCGTGTTAACGAACGATGGCGCGGGCAACTTGGTGCAATTTTAGTTTTTCTATGGATTTGAGATATTTTAAATCGTTTACGTACTTATTTCGATAGAGAATTTTAGACGTTTAGTTTAAGTCGTTCCGATCGCTTAATTGCCATTCACTCGCTTACTTTACTCGGATCGAGTCGATTACGCCTAAGTGGTATTAAAGGTGGCAACGTGGTCGCTGTCGCTCGTTTACGTTGCTTTCGTTTCGAAGATTAACTGGTAAGGAGGGGGACGAAACCCCCACAAATTAGACCCCCCTGTGCGAGGAAAAAAACAAATTTTTGGTATATTAAGTAGGTGTCACGTGACCGGAATGACGTAGGTATAGCCCTCACCACACTCGGCCAACCTCGCGCGGCCCGATTTTGGGGGGGCTATATCTCGTGATGTGTCGCCCGTAGGGGTATGGTTTATTAGACATTATTTGATCGCACAGGGGGGGTCGACACTGTGGGGGGTTCCCGCCCCCCTCAGGCAAAACTAGAATCTTACCGTTTTGAATCAAAGAATAGTGTTACTTCCATCTCTTAAGCCGAAGACTTCCGACGCACGTGACTCCTCAACCGTTCTAACAACTTGAAGTGCCAGTCAACCCATCGGACAGGAAGTTCTAACCCGCTCGCCACAACAAAATATCAACAACCTACTTACGAATTTTCCAATCATTAAATATTTTCCGGTATCTGCTTGAAAAGTTTTATATCGTCGATAAAACATCGTCCACACAAGAATCTAGCCGACGAAAACAAGAACTCCAAGACAAAGGGCAATCTCGACCCTAACGTACTTTGACCAGTACTCTCCTATCCAGGTCAAAGAAAACGTTAACTGACCACGTGCGACTAAATATCCAGATGGCACAACGCGCTGATTGGTCAGCTGAATGACGTCAACCCATTGAAGTATCTATACTACTATATAAAGAGACAACGTATTTTTCGTTTGTGACCACTAACCGTGAAAACTACTGAACCAATCGTTACCAAATTTTAACTGCAACATCTTTATGATCCCCAGAATGTTTACCACTAATCAAACCTACATATTTTTTATTAATTAAATAAAACTGCAATGGATTTTTCATCTAGGGTTAAGGCTTTTATGTCCAACAGATGGCGCTACGAGTATGACGCCCTAAGTTTGCTTTTCTGTGAGGAGGAACTAAAGCAGATCATCATCTATCTATCTATATAAATAAAAATGTAATGTTCGTTTGTTCCTACCGATTTCTTTCAAATTTTCACACAACGCTGCATTCGAATACGCACGTGTTTTTATATAATATACATGTCGAAATTCCCCCCCCCCGGGGGAGATGGACAGGATTAAGGCTTGCTGTAAAGAACTTTGCTTATATTTATACTATTTTAGATGCGGTTTTTTGCGTTTTTGATTGCGTTTTAATAGGGTACGTCAAGAGAATGTACACTAAGGGATTTTTTGAAAAATTTCCCAATCTCACGGGGAAAGTGTTATACATTTATAATAGATACATTTTGAGCCACAACAACGCTTGGCGGGGTCTGCTAGTAGATTATATTTTGTGGTCGTCAGAACGAATGTTGACGAAATAGATTATTTATTTAGTTGTAATATTGAGTGAGTATAAAGTGAAAATACAACTGATTATTATTTTTTTAACATTTAACTTTATACTTGATCTTTATGCATCTCTGAACCAAATCATACACAATAGATCATTTTAATACCGCGATTAGTGTTTTAAATTTACGTTCACATATAATAAATAACAGAAAATTTATACTTTGTTACAGATATTATTCATAAAAAGTTCGAGAAAGGATAAAATTTATAATTAAGATAAGTCAGAATATTCTTTGAATTTGTCATGTGCATTTAATATAGTTAGATGAAACAATAAAATTAACTAAGTTTTGTATACTTCTGAAAGAGAAATTTTCACAAATCTTGCTTAACAAATTATAAAGTTTAAATGTAAAAGTTGTTGAACAATTTTAAATAAAAAATATTTTCCATAGATTACTCTTATCAGAAATTTTTTTTTAATGTTTTAGTTAAAATTGACAGTTCTTTCTGTCAATAGACATTTTGTGCTTTTGAATGTCAGTTCAAAATCTGTGTTAAGAAACAATACTTTTCAAATTTACAGAAATTTAATGTATTCAGTTCCATAATAGATATATCTGTAAATATGTTTAATCAAATTTGTATGACCATTTTTCAAATTAAAAGTATAGAATTTTTGTATAAATTATTTAACAATCAATAATACTGTAAGTATTTAAATTCCTTTGAATATATTTTAAATAAGAATTTCCACACATTTCAACATGGAAATTGTTTATCAATATAAGTGCCAGGTAAAAGTAATGTTGCATTTGTACTGTAATGTTTTCATAATAAGCTATTTTTGTTTGTGTTGCATAGGAAAATATAAAGCGAAGTGATATTCATTGTCTATATTTAATTTAAGTTTCCACAGGATTTGATTTGAAAAGCAAACCAATGGATTAGAGAATTT